AAGATTAAACAATGAAATCGACAGATGAAGGTGGTTTGCACGGTTTACACAAATGAGGGCGGTTTTCATATGATCACTCCTCTATATATATATATATATATATATATATATATATATATATATAGGGTTGAGTTCACGTGAGACCAATGGTTTTTCGTGAGACCTGTAAGACCAATTTATGTTCATTGATCAACTTGATAAGCTAATGATCTAATGGTTTAAAGTTAATTAATTAATGACAAAATATCTAAATAGATATACAAGTTAATATGATGTTAATATAAAAAAAAAAGTAATAGTTATAATTAAGATAACAAAAACGAGGTCCTACCGGGAGTCGAACCCAGGTCGCTGGATTCAAAGTCCAGAGTGCTAACCACTACACCATAGAACCCTACGCGCCTGTTTCACACTATTACACTTACTTAAAGTAAAGAACCCGGTTTAAAGTCAAAAATAAGCTTGCACCAGCCGGGAATCGAACCCGGGTCTGTACCGTGGCAGGGTACTATTCTACCACTAGACCACTGGTGCCTATTGGCTTTAAGACGCTTATTACAGCTATATATGTCTTAATTATTAAGAAGTAAAACATCTTAATGAACATTGTACAGATTTTCGTATTATTGTTTGTATAGAAATCTATATGTTAAAATTACTTGTTTTAATGACGTATCATTTGTTTTGTTTATTTGTTATGTGTTCTTTGATGATCTTATTTTCATCATGAAAGAAAAGATAGCTCAATGAGGTTGGATTTATTTTTCAGCCAACCGATCGTAATCTGCCCCATATTAATTCTAGTCATTAGGTTCGTATCTCATTTGTTTGTAGCATGAATTGAATGGTTGAAACCCAATACAGGGACAATGATTTCATTTGTTGCCCACCGAATGAAGTTAAATGGTATGTTTGGTAAACTTGTGATAAGCTATTTGTTTATTAATAAATTATTTGTTAACTGATAAATCACGTTCGATAAAAACTAACTGATAAACTAGAAAACAATGTAAAACAACGTAAAATAAAATTATAAGGGTATAATTGGATAAAAGGGAACGGAAAAACCCTCCATAAGCTATTTGAATTAATTTTTCAAAAACTCAGTTTATAACCTAGTTTATGACTTGCTAAATGGAACCTTTTCAATTACTTCAAAAAAATAAGTTAGTTTATGGTTGTCAAACAAAACCAGCATTAAGGATTAGCTCAACTAGCAATAAGGCACGGATCTATGAGACTCCTCCCAGGAGATCGCCAGTTCGAGTCCTTCCAAGGTCACTGGGGGTCCTTTTATCCACACTTTATAGGATCAGTCGAGATGCTTGCAAGCTGGCACAGACATCGACAAATTTACCCAAAAAAAACATGAGCAAAGCATTATACAAGAGTAGTGATATGATATGGGCATTCATAAAACTAACCAAATGTTTTGATGATTGTTGGTAAAAAAAGATGAATGTTGAAGTTTGTGGAATCTTTTTTTGGCTATAATGATTGTGAAGTGGAATAAAGTGGAAACCCCAAGACCCCAAATGTGTCTTTCTTTTGCTTATTTTGAGAGGTGGAGTTGGTGGTCTTTCTTCAAACCTCATACATTATATGCCTCTCATTACAAAATCACAACAATAACCCCAATTATGGACCCCATAATCTTGAAAACCTCATCATCAATGTAACTAAAAGAAGTCTTTTTTATCTAATTGGGTATTCTAATCTTTCACTAAACTTTGAATAAAAAGAAAAAGGTTTATTCGGTTTAAGAATAAATCAAAATTTATTAAGAGGTTCTACGTCATTTACACGACGAAAAATAAAGATACAACTAAAAAATGGGCTTATAATATAAGCTCTGACAACCCCCGATCTTGGCTCCTTCAGATTTAATGGGGTTGGATTCTCGAATTTTTAAAGGATACTGAATTTTTGATCAGCATATGTGAAAGCCTGATGACAGTTATGAATTTAAGTTGAGTTTTGATAACTTATTCACCTATGGTAATAAATTAGATTTATGAGTCACTTGAATTCTTTATAATACATTGGTAATAACTTTTAATATGATATTAATCTCATCTTAGATATTATTACATCAATTTTTTTTTTCAAATACAAAAAAAAGAACGAATAAAGAAATATACAACGAATCAACAACATTTCATGCAAGTCCTATAACCCACAATATTACAAAGTCGAACGAAAATACCAAATTATTTTTTTTATTTTATCAGCCATTGTTTTATTTATTATTTAATATAAAAATAAGAATAAAAAATAGAAAATGATGTAGGGCAAATATTCCCTGTGATTGAAGTCCACATAGTGGATCATATTCTCTAAGTTCATCTATCTTATCTATGGCAATGGAAAGAGCAAAATGTTGGAGAATCATATTCTTCGGCATATTAATCTTTTAACATTTATAACCAACAATGCATAATGTACAACTTTCAATATACAACTTTTTTTAGATAACAATTGGTATTCAGATCAGTTTACACATAAATCTGTTAATTTTACAGAATCTGAAGTTAACAGTCAGACAAACCTCCAATGACTTAAATTGGTGCCGCAAGAAACAATCTTTATTACATCATAATACTTTTACACAATTTTTTATTTTAATTTTAATTTTAATTAAATTATATATCAAATTATTAATAAAGAGCATGTAAAAGTACAGCATCAAATTCTGCACCTAAGAAAGCATCATAAGCTACAAAATCAATGTGCAAAAGACTAATATATAGTTTCTAATGTATAACATACAAGTTATTATTTGACACTCTCTTTATATATATATATAACTCCTTATTAACCCAAGTCTCCCCTCCCCGGTCCCGATCGACAAAATTCTTTGGTGATTCGGGCGAATTCCGCGTGCTAAAATGCCACTCAACACCAATATTCGGCCTTCATCGACAACCAACCTCGCCTTTGTTTCCCTCATCATTCTTCTCTTCTCCCCTCGAACCACCTCTCAAGCATGCAAAAGCTCGTGCGGCGCAATACCAGTGAAATACCCGTTCGGCACCGGCCCGGGATGCGGCGACCCACGGTTCCAAACCCGAGTAACTTGCAATAATCAACATCTGACCTTCATCACACACACTGGATGCTATCCGATCACCGCCATCGACTACTCAAACCAAATCATCTTTATTACTGATCCCACGATGTCGACTTGCGCCTGCACTCAACCAAGCAAAGGCTTCAGTCTAGATTGGGACGCGCCATTTAGCTTTCATGACGACACTGTTTTTTCCCTGATCAATTGTGACGCCTCCACGTCGCCAGTATTCAAATCCGATGGTCGTAACGATTCGCTTTCTCCGGTTTGTGATTCCGAGAGCGGGAGCCGAGTTTGTGGGCTCTTGAATTCTTGTCAAGCGGTTAGTCGGCTCGATATCCCGGTCTCCACGTGTTGCGTCTATACTCCGGTGGATCTTGGTCCATCCTTCGAGATGGACTTGCAGAAGCTGAAATGTGATTCGTATTCAGGTTTATACGGTTTTAGTGGACACGCGGACAATCCCGACAGTTGGAAATATGGCATCGCGATAAAGTATAAGTTCAATTTCAACAACGAATATCCAGAACTCTGTGCTAACTGTGAGAAAACCAATGGCGTCTGTGGGTATAACGGACCTTATAATTCGTTAATATGTAACTGTCACAGTGGAATCAATGCTACGTCAGATTGTTCGTTTGAAGCAACGTGGAACGGTTCTCGGAGATTCCTTCCATTTAGCAACGGTAAATGGCTACAAGCGTCGCAAATGATTTTCTTTTTTGTGATGTACTTTCTTGACGATATATGTGTTTAATAGGGTACGATTTATTTGCAGGGGCGTTCTGGATCTATGCACTGGCATGGATACTGATATGGAGGATGGCGTAGATTTCAAAGATTCTGATATAAGTCGTGTGTTTTCTTGTCATTTTAAGAGAATTCATCATCTAAAGTCGTTTTTATATTGGAAATTAAATGATTTAATTAAGTGATTTGTATTTTAGTGACGGGTTTTTGTAATTTTTGCATAATACTGCGGTTTAGTGCGACTTGGAGAAAAATATTTTTAATGATAAAAATACATTTTATTAATTACATATAGATATCAAATTTAACAATTTGTTTTAAAATACCATGTCGTTATGGTGTCAAACTGACGAAAAAGATAAAGACGAATATATTTAACGATGCTAAATGAAAATAAATTGTTCCAAAACTGGAATAGAATGATATTCTTAGAGGATGTTTGGGATTGCTTATTTGAAACAACTTATACTTTTCTACAAAAGTCTTTATCAACTTATTGTAAGTTGGAATGGTTTAATTTATGCAAAAACTTCTTATTGCCGGTATGATACCGGTATAAGTTGTTTATCCAAACATTCATAAGTGTTTATTACCTGTGACATACCGGAATAAGTCAATAAATTATTTTTATAAACAATCCCGAACACCCCCTTAATAAAATACCTTTATAAACCAAACCAAATAAGAACTAGAGTAAATTACAGATTTGGTACCTACGGTTTCAAGATTGTCTTGAATTTGGTCCTTACAGTTTTTTATTCCAAAACAGCCTCTAGATTTTGCATTTTCATAACGTTTTAGTTTCTACCACTAATGGTTTAGATTGATTTGATTCACAAGCTTGTGGCTCTGCTTAATTTATTCCATTTAATTGCTTTTTTTGTGATGGATCACCGTATATTGCCTTTTGTGATGGTTTTTTTGATCTCCACGCTTTCAGATTCCCCCTCTGTGTTGTCGCTTATTCAATCTCTTGTCTTCCGAGGTCATGTGTTTTTTTTTGGAATAACAATGATGTCAAAGTCAGCTTGTGACATGCATATTGATTAATTTTACAGGCTCTGAAATTAACAACTACACGAATCTTAAATGACTCTAAAGATCGTAGGTTATGTTATTGACCAACCAAGAACGTAAAATTTATGTGGCCGAGCTACCGATGCATCTGTTATCAACAAGTATTAAACATGTATGGTTTTAAAAGTCTTGAAAGTAATTTGTGCATCCACAAATGTTGTTATTCATCTTTTCAAGTGATTATAACAAATTTTATAATTCTTTTACATATTTAATATCAGGTTTCTGGTTTTTAAAAATTCAAAAAAGATAAAAAGAAAATGGATTTGAATGCAATGCATGGACATGGCTTCAAAATACTCAATCTTGAGTTTACTAGTGCATTGTTTTGAGTATCAACCATGTTTAGTGGTATATTGTTCTGAGTATCCATGGAGGGACGGACCAAGGGCTTTTTAGTGCCACGTGTCATCGTTCTATTCCTTCATCGTAATGTGAAAAATATAAGGTCGTGAAAAACGTCATGGTATCAATTTGTTGTGTGTCACTATATATATTTTGAAACTACAATAAAGAACATAAGTTTTCATTGGTAAAATTGGTTTGCAAGGCTTTTCTTCCACCCACACCCGAGTTTGAATCATGTTTAGTGTCATTTTCTTAGATTTTAGCTTTTAATTTCAGATTTATTATGTTTCTGGGGGGAATACAATAAAAAAGACTTGAACACGGGAGGACCAATGAACCAACCAACACAGCATTGATGATTTTGGGATAAATATTTTTATATTTCTTTCTTACAAGTCAAATGGTGTCACAGCTTGAAAACTTTTCAGGTCTGTCCCAAAATCCAATTGCAAAGTAGCATATTGATTTGGTTTTTAATTTAGACTCTTTGTTACATGTTCGAAACTTTACCTGATTTTTGATATTCTAGTTTTTCAAAGATCGAGAACTGTAAAGCCCAATGCAACAGGCTGACCCCATAACCTTGAAATGAACTTAAAACCTATGGTCAAAGTTATGGATAGCGCATAACTTTGAGCTTATAATAAATCTAATTTTCTATGCTACAAGAAATAGCAAAAGAAGCATATGAAAAGATAAGAGAAGAGAAGAGGGTGAAAGAAATGTTCAGAAAACAATTCTCATAAAATATTGCTTACACTAGTACTATTTATTGGGGAAGTTATCATAGTGGCTCTTGATTTAACCCCAACATTTGGTATCTCATGCGATCAATACCATTCAACCTTACACAACATAAGATTTGCTCTGGCAATTCCTCCACTTTGTTTCCCTGATTCAATGTAAAAACGAATTACTTTTAGAAAGGAAACAACAGAAGTTTAATCAAGTTTTTAAAATGAAACAAGACTTGCCTGTATTGTCAGCCCCACATCCAAGATGCAGTTTTTTAGTCTATCTTGGAATGCTTCAAATCCTTTCCTGGAGATGTAACTAAATCTATGCATATCCAAATCAATCTCAAAGTAATTCTCTCCCTGCAAAAACCACTCCACCAATACTAAATTCAAAATACACAAACACAATAAAACAATATAATATATATATGTTATGTATCTTATGAGTACATTCATCCATATCCATATAAGAGTGTGTTTGGTACAAGGGAATGGACTGGACATGTTGTCCTACATTTACTAGAACGGACTGGATGGGATTTTGGGTTAGTAGAACAAAAATGCATTTTTTGTTCAACCAAATTAGAGAGACTAGACAATATTGGTAAATTACTAAGCTATTCATATCAGAGTAAAACCCTAAAACATTATACAATTCTCTCATCCGTCCAACCTTGTCTAGTCTAGTTCCATCCGGTCCTTCAAAGGGCAATGGTATAACCAACATTTGCACCCAACAATATGGAAGGGTAATGGCATCAAAACAGCCATTATGTTTCAATAGGGAAGGGAAAATGAAGAGCAGAAACTCACTTGGTAGAATTCATGTTGAGGACGTGAAAGAACAGGTTTTTCATTGTAAGCATGCATAAGCTTCCTCTCTGGTGCACTTAACTGAAGGTCCTCTACATTTACAACCCGACCCAATATTTTCAGCCTTTCACGAAATGGTACAAGTGTATCGACAGGAAAACCTTTAACCTTTTCTATTTCATCATCAAGAATCCTCTGTTCCAAAACAATCATGAATAAGTTGATGATAAGAAATAATGGGATAATGTATTATGGCAAGAAATAATGGGATAATGCATTGTCTTACTCTCATGTTATCTTGAAACTGGGATGAAAGTTCCTTCGAGTAACTATCAGAAAGTTTAAAGTACAAAACTACATTCATTCCTTCGCCATCAATTTCTCCTTGGAAAAAGGCAGCAGGGTACAACGGAACCTGTAGAACCACCACATAAAGAATGTCAATGCAAGCAATAAGGAACTGCCATGAGATCAAAAGTAGCAGCATTTCATCTAGAAAAGATACACAAACGAATGATTAAAGATCATTTAGAAAAAGATCGAACTCCAGGTACAAGAACAAATGATTAGAGTTTCAATATCCAGCTCTGGTGCATGTAATATACGTCTGATACACGGACGATACTAGACACTGGACAGGTGGGAGTAAGGTAGGCGAAAGAATTCTGCATAGTTTTTAAGGTTTTAATTTGACATGGGTAGTTTATTAATTTAACAATCTTTTCCTATTTCATTCAAGTCTCGTCGTGTCCCAATCTAACTCATGCCAAACATAGACAAGTTCTTATCTTGTTTTTTCTCGTTCTGTCCCATGTACCAAACTCACCCTTAATGTGTTTGCTTCTAATAATGAAAGATCCCTCACCGAGTCTACTAGGGAAAAAGATAGATGGCCACCCAAAAACAATGTCATTTTTATGATGAACAACCAAAAATGAGACCGTAAACAGTAATAGCAAAAAAAAGCTCTGAATGATAGGAAGTACCTGTACATTTACAACGAGAATAGACGGAAGTTCTGTGGAAGAAGAACCAACAACAGGGAGCTCAACAAACCGAGCAATGTGATCAATTTTCCTTTGAGATAAGAACACATCAACACCGAATGGGTAATATGCTGCATAATTAGGTGCATGTTCTTTCTTTTTATCCCTGCAAACATTCAATAAAATGGGTAACTAAATAACTACAAGGACAGACTAACTACATGTTTATTTAAAGCCCATATAATTCAGTTACCTCAAATAATTCACTCCTCGTACTCTGAAAGTCTTCGGTTCAACATGTGACCATGAATCAAGCACTGTCTTCTCTACTGGACAGAAGGGTACTTGAGAACCAGCTATCGGTCGTTGTAGATGCATCTTTGAAGAAACTAGGAGATCAGGAATTGTGTCAAATTTTTGTTCACTACATCACCTCATCATAGGATAATAAAAGTGATATGCTAGTTTATGCCCACTGAGTTTGCCGAATCGGATGGACCTTACACAGAATAACCTAAAGGTATCCATTTCAAATCCTACTCTTGCGTATTCCCCTTACCATGGGTGTTTCAATAGGCAGGCAGCAAAAATTCTCCTGGTGCGGTTCATGGGTCTTTGGAAAAAAAATTGAGCTTACAAGTTACTAGTTCACGAAGCACATTTCAATGCTTTTGTGTATGTTTCCCTTAAGTAGCCTAGCCAAATCACAAAAATTTCGGAGTAGTAAGAAGAACTCACAGATATTGGCATTAGGATGTCCATCTCTCCATTTAAAGGAGAGTTTATGAACAGCCTTTTTCCTTGCACTTGGTGGGCTAGAGCTTAAGGATCTTCTCTTCTCAACAGATGGAACTGTTGCAGCAAGGCAAGGCAGACAGTTACCGGGAATTACTCCACAGTCCAATAAATCATTCTCTCTTCCAGCATTATCATCTACAGAAGAAGATATTTCATCAATGTATACGGGCTGGAAATCATTATTAGGTCCATCAGATCTGGATCGTGGATTCATTTCTTCTGGATGCACTGAACTTCTACGACTCTCACCATCTCCGTGATTGACATCCCTGAGAGAAGCAATGCTTGCCCTGGAGGCGCCTTCTGAGCCATTTAGGGACACCACATCTTGCATATATTTGGATTTGTAAGTTAAAGATAAGTTATAATTTTAACTGGAAAATTGAATATAAAGGTCGGTACCATCAAGAACACTATGGAAATCTTCTTCACTGCAGTCTGATTCAAGAACAGCAGCAGAATCATAAAAGAACTCATCAATGCTCCCTCCTAATACAAAAAAGAGTGCGCTTACTATAAGGAAGCCAATACATTTACAACAACTGAATAAAAATTGGGAAGTTACAACAATGAAAACAGAGCAAGTCTTACAAAAGAACTCAAATTTTTAAGGCCTGACTCGTTTAAGTAGCCTAAAATGTTCATTCCAATGGAGAATGATAGATAAAGATGTCAACAAATGACCTCAGATATGAACTCATGTTCCTTGGTTCAAGCTTATTTCAGAAACCATCTAGCTTCTCCTTCTTCAGGCAATAGCTATGATTTGGCTTTGGATATCATATATCAACTTCAACATTTATAAGGATCATAAACTTTTCCTGAAATTCTTGCTAACTACATGAAACTTCATAAGATCTTGAAGGTGTTATATTTGCAACAATGCCCGCGTCAAAAGCCCTAGGTATGACGATGAATATAAAAATGTATCCCTTTCTAGAAGTGGATAGAATACCTCCAAAATTAGTAAAAAACTGAATATTCAAGAACACCACCACCGAATAATTGTGCCAAAAAAGGATAGAAAACTAAAACGCACCCCAGTGAAAACAGGGAAATTCTACCACATTAGCTCAAATTTTAAATTTAAACAAATGTTTCTACTTATCGAAATCTTTTCCATAGTTATGAACACACAATCATTAGTCCATAGCTAACACACAAATCAGTCAAGTAATCAGTCAAAATGCAACAGAAACATATATAACTTGTAACAGTTATAGATCAAAACTCTCAATTAATACAAGTGCCGTCTGCAATTTCTATATAAGGATAGAGAGAGAACCGCGGAAAGTAGGATTAACCAAGGACCGATCTGAGGGAAGGGACTTTGGTTGATCGGAAAGACGAGTGGAAACACGTCGCTTCAAGTCTTTCTTTCGCTTCCTAAATTTCCTCTTCGACGATCTTATTCTACCTCCGACACAACTCTCCGGCGTCGACAAGCAAGCTCCCATCTCTCTCACTTCTCTCTCTGTGTATATTTCAAATCAACACGATGAATCACAACATTTTCAATCGAAACAAAACGTAGAAGAAACGTGTGATCAACGATAAACAACCGTTCCAGTTCTCGTTTCTCTCTCTCTAGATACATACACTATACATACAAAGTTGTATATATGATTTGATGAGATGAGCATGAATTGAGAGAGAGACGCATAGCAATAGCAAGAAGAAAGATAGCGAAAGTCAAATGAAAGGGCTTGATGATGATGGTGAGTGACGGATTGAAGAAAGGGGCATCTACGTATTGTTTTCCGAACCCCAAAATTCTAGGTAGGACCCACATCATGTACAATAGGACTCGCCACGTGGACTAGTGAAATTAATTTCCTGGGAAATGTAAACGTGTGTCTGCTCTCTGTGTTGTACAAAAACTGTTCCCCTCACGTTTTCTTCGAATTTTTTAATTTTATTTTATTATCTTTTAAAATAAAAAATAATATTTTTATATTAAACTTTATATAATTAAATAATATCTATTTTCTTAAATCCAACGTATCTAGTTTGGGAAGTTGATCAAAATAGTCATCTTATTCGGTTCAATTCATCTATTACTCAATTCTCCCCCATACTCTTCAAGAAGTCATTACATTTGCAAGTACCTGAGCTGCAACTTGCAGAGCAGTGTTTTAAAAAGAAAAAAAAAACTGTTTTTCATACTTTAACGGTGACATGGCCTTGTAAACATGCACCAAGAAGCTCTCTTTAAGTTTGTATACCTATTGTTAAGTGATACCAGGAAAGCGTATAGGTTCACAAAGTGGTCACAATATTACCACAGTGGTGGTATAAGTTTACATCGGACACTGTGATCGTTTTCAAGTAATAAAGTGGTAAAAATACCGAGATCGTATCCACAGAGATTGGAGTTCGGAATTTCAAATAGTAGGTTGATAATATAATGATTTCAATTAAAGAAGAAGAAAATACATTTGAGCGAGTTTTATACTTTTAATAATGAAATCTAAACAAGCAATTAAAAAAGGTTATGGGTGAACATGTCACGTAACAGATCAATAGTAACAAGATGGTTAAATAGATTGGTCACAAAAACATCTATAAGTTCCTTTCTCTCGGAAGTGAACTTTCATAGAGAGTGGTCACAATCTCCACACAAAATCAACATTTTTACCAACTAAAGGCTTGTCGACGGAATTAAATAGATTTCACAAAATCTTAGTTATACCAGTATGAACAGAATGCTCATATCTCTATGTGAAACCACTCTCGACTGACGTTTGAACATTAGTTACAAAATCTTGCAAAAAATGTATCTCTACGTGATTATAAAAGACTTTCTCAAATCTTCTTGCATCACTCAAGTCATATTTCAGAGTCTACCTATCTCTAGATCTACCTAATATTACACTACCAATTAATTAGTTTGTCCGCATTAAATTAAAGCTTCAACTTGAGTAACCAAGCCCAAAAGTTAGCAACAATATCAACACCCACATGTTGCATATTAATCTTATGATCAACTCACATCACACCAAAAAGGGGTGCTTAGTTAATAATTACAGTAAATAATATAATAGAAAAAGATAAATACTTAACAGTTACTTACTTGAAAATAAACTACAAACTGTGCCTACAATATGCTGAAATTTAAAGATATCTCATAAGCTCCATGTAACTAGAAATGGCACTATGAAATCTTATCCAAATCTTAACTTCATTGTATCTTCATCTTTCTTTGTATCTAGAGTTTGCCCTTCAATATTGTCATAATGTAGTTGAAATAAGCATAAGATTACGTGCAAAAAATGATATTTCAGTTGCGCTCAAATTAACGTCACCGAACACAATGGTGACACAACGGGTATATTCTGCAATCCAACATCTAACTTAAAACAGCTCCAAATAAAAATAAGAAACATACACACATGAAGAGGAAACACTATTTAAAACGAAAGAAAAGCTCATACAAATGATGTACAAATAACACTCAAAATGAAAGTTATCACATCCCGCAAAACTTAGCAGGTACACGTTCCATATTCAAAAAATATACTTACGAAAACAGTTATCCAATGCATGGAACTTTGCTCGAACTTTCACAATACACGAGTTGATACAAATACTGACCATTGATATAAAAAAATATTATTTCAAATTAATTAATTATTATTAAAATTAATGAAAATAATTGAGTTTTATACGATTATGTGCATGTATAAACGTTTGCATTTAAAAGCAGAGTCAGTTTTTAAATATAAAAAATGGGTTTTTGGTGGGTCCATGTGTTGTACGTTACAGTTTTGGTGTTTAATGTGTGAGTTGTAGTTGTCTCAGCTGTCTATCACCAAAAAAAAGCTTTAATTATTTAATTCTAATTCCAAGAAAAATAAAATTTTCCACTTGGATTCGCTGCTATTCCAACAAAATTATTGATACTTAAGGTTATTTAACAGTTGTTGAATGGTTTGGTGTCAAATGATTAAGTGGTCAGAATGATTAAGAGACTTTCATAATATATTGCAAAATGAAATATAATTGTTTGGTAATTGTTTATAATGAAATCATGACGTTTAATGGTTAAGAGAGGTACAAAATGATTCAAAGGGTTTTAGAACCATTAAGAGACAGACTTTTTTTTTGTCAAACAAGATTCACCTCTTAGTGATTCAGATGTTGTCTCTTAATGAAACTATTAAGAGGTAAACAAACAACCTCTTACTTAATATCAATTAATTTCATAATAAAAATCCTATACAACAAATATATATGATTTTGTCAATAAAATTTTAATATAAAACATAAAATAAAAAATAGGCTAAATATTTTTTATGCATTATGTGATATAAGATAACATGTATCGAAATGAATAAAATTGTTTTAGACCCTATTTATGCCAAAAACTTTATGGCAGAACCCATATAGGTCTATAAAGTGGCCACAGTAACAGTATAAATGCACACCGGTTATTATGACTGTTTTCAAGTAATCAAGTTGTAAAAATACCAAGATCGTATCAACATGGATCAGACTTCAAAGTTTCGAGTCTTGGATCGAAAATATATTGATTTCAACTAGAGAAGAAAAAAATATCTTTGAGTTGGTTCGGTGATTTTTACAACAGGCATGAATATAAATGTTGCATAAAAGATCAGTAGTAACAAGATGGTAAAGAAGACTGGTCACAAAAAATAACTATTAAAGTTCCTTTCTCTCGAAAGTGAACGTAAATAGTGAGTGATCACGTTATTTCCACAACGTCACCATTTATTAGTCGGAGGCTTGCCGACCAAACTAAATAAATTTCAGGGAATCTTAGGGGGCATTTGGTCCGTTTTAAGGAATGGAAATGAAAATGAAAATGGATATAGCACGGAATGTAAATGTAAATGCTAAACATTTGTATTGAAAACTAAATTCTCTGTAGAGGTCACCGCTTCGAGTCCTACAAGGTTACTGGAGATTTTATTGACTGTTCTCTAAGACCGATACCCCTGGGATTAGTCGAGGTTAGAGCACAAGATGACCCGAACACCTATAGTTAAAAAAAATCAATTCTTTGGTTGGCATCAACCCTTTTTTGTGTCAAAATTTACAACTGGATTGAGTTTCGATTTAGCTCGGTTTGGGTTCTTCGGTTTATTTTTCGGGTTGGATTTGTCAGGCCATTAGGTTTTTGTATAACCCTACTTGTAGCATACACCTCAAGGATTTCAAAACATACTATACCTTATTCCCATTTACAAATGATTTACTATGATTTTTAAATATATTATAAAAAGATTATGAAATATTTGACAAATAATCAGTCATTTTGTTTAAACGTCGTAGTCAAATTAAACGTAAAGATTTCAAATTTATAACATTACTAATAATTTATGCAATTTTAGTTATATATTTATTCTATTCACAAATAGAAATTTCAACGAAATTTACTTTAAAACATTATAACAAGACAATAAATAATAAGACCAAAGCAATACTATTGTCTCATTAGATCGCATTTGAAACGTCGTCAAATTTAGTAGTACAACAACTCGATAACAACAACACCAATAAACATTTTAAATCTGTTAGAAGACAAAACAGATAACAATATTATCACATTTTTTATAATTACATATTCGAACAAAAATGTTTATCATATTATAATAAAATCGGGTTTATAAGACACTTAAAATGTATAAACATCTTAATAACATGTTTTTTAAGACTTATGTTTATAATACCAACGTCTTATCTAAAAGTATTATAATATGTTAACGATTAAATCTATAATTTTTAACAAATCACGTGAAAAAAAGGGTTTTTTTCCTCTTGAAAATATATGAAAACAATACCTAATAATAGGATTCCATAGGTTAGAAAAAGATAAAGGACAAGTGGTAAAAATGATGTGTCTAGTTTCACGGTAAAATGTTATATTTGTTTCTGGTCCTTATTTACATTGGGACAGTGAACACTCAAGTGGTTGGTCATCTATGCCACTTCTGTACATGTACCTTTATGCATTATTTATATTCTTAATAAAATATAATAAGTTATATTTTCTAAAATATTAGATAAAAAGTTGATTATCGATAAACCAATCAGCTCCATATGAAACTCGTCTTCAGAGACAAAAATGCGAACGGTTTTTATTGGGCTCGCTTAGCGGCGTAGGCTAGTGCGGAGGCTTGAGATCGAGTCTATAACTTGTTTTGTATTTGAACAAAGTCTCCCCTTTTGGGACAGACATACATTAAACGATAGGGTGGCACGAGCCACCATTGTAAAGGGGAAAAAATACGTTTATCGAAAGTGACAGCATATTATTTTGTTGGGTGTTGTTATATAGTTTTTTAAACTGAAATATTAATACAAGACTTTGATGGCAGAGATGGTAAATGTTTTTACCAGTCTCGTCGTTGTTAAATTTGTTGATTTTTAGGTTAAATCTTGATGTTTTTTTTTATATATACCTCTTTTGTTTTTAAAAATATATATACATATGATTTGAACATAAGTCTATTTTATGAGAATACAAAAAACTAACCAACAAATCTATATTAATATTATGAATTTTTTCTTTAGGAAATTTTTATCGTTAAATTATATCATCACTTCTAAATATTTCTAGGTCCACCTATACACCCCAATACCCCCATCTATTTACCAAGTTAACATCATGTCAGAGACTTTGATTTTTGAAATATTA